TTGACCAAGCATACCACATGCTAATGAGGAAACTAAGGCATGAAAAATGCAATATCTGATGTTCTCCTGAAACTGGGAAATAAGTTAATTCTGAACCTCAGTGGTCCAAATTAGGAGCCTGTATCAAAGGTGATATAGTATAATTCAAGAAGTGCTCTATTTTTATTCAAAAAGCTCTGACCTTGTTTGTATTGCTGGTAAAACATCTTTCTGTCTCTGTTACAGCCCTGTCTTCTGGGGAAAAAAAAAAATGGTACTACTACTCTTGAGGCTTTACGAGGATGGGGCAGAGCAGGTTGAATGAGTAAAGGCTGTAGAATGGGGGGATGTTTTGTGTGTAATACTAACCAACCTAAATGTCATGTCATTTACACTGAGGTAGGTGCACTATTAAAATAGAGTAAAGCTGATGCCCGGAGATGCAAGCCTCAGAATCTACTCTTTGCAGATTTTATATTGCTGCAAGCAGTAGATAGGACATTTTCCACTGCATTACAGAAAATGCGTCAGCAAATAAATAGGCTTTTATGACAGTATTTATTGGGTGTGAATCCAATAAGCTGGACGCCTTAGATCTGTGCACTGCAGGTCGCTCTGGGTTGCCTTCCCTTGGGTGCAGAGAACAAGCCATGAAGGGATTGCAGGCAAGCAGCTTTCTTCAAAGACGCCGTCGTGCACTGGTGTGTGTTAAACGAAGCACCTGTCGGGTCTGTATGTCAGGGGTGCAAATGGAAGTGTGGCCAGAAGGAGTACCTAAAATGCCCCCATCTCTCAGCTGTTTAGTTACTGAGAGAAGAGCCTTTCGTTCCGTAGGCAAGGGCGGCAAGGTGGAAACACAAATTCTTGGTTCTGCTTAACCAACTGTTGTGGTGGGCTGCATATTGCAACCCACCTCTTCTAGGTTTCTTACGTCATTGCCTAGTCACAGGTGAGAACTGTTTTACAAGCCGGGCTTAGCACTGATCTCATGTATTCCCAGTAAGGACGGTGTATTGTGCCCACAGTACATAGCACAGACAGAAAAATCAGGAAACCTTTCCCACCGTTCACACAGTGCCGGTGGAAGGGCCTCGCGCACTTCCCGCTGCGAGGAGCCCTTGCCAGCACGGCAGCTTCCCGCAGTGCGGCAGGCGCTGCAGCCTTGGCACGGCGTGTCCACCGCAGAGCGCTGCCTCGCAGCGTGCGATTGCCACGGGGATGCCAGATTCTGCCACCACGGTCTCCCTTCATACAAGGGTTAAACTTACTATATGCTCTTCCTGAGCGTTGGTTCCGCAACGTTTACTGCAAACAGATACTCTCTGCCAATTAGACTGCATTTGGAGATGAGGAGGAGAGGGAGCAGCATATGTGTGTTGGGTCAGCAAAGCAGTCTTGAACACGAATTCTTGTATCGTTGTGACAAAGATGCTTTGCAGCTCTAGGTAATCCGTATGTACTGAGAAGTAAGATAATATTGTTCCAGGGATGCGGTGCGTGTATCTCGCTCTGGGATCTGATCTCAGATTTTTGGTTTCTAATCCTAAAGCAAAGTTTTTTAATATCAATATTTAATAGCTGGTTCATTCTTAATTCATTTGCATGCCTCCAGTGAATCAGTGTGATACATAAGTGAGAGCTGTGACAGGCTCAGATTCAGTGACGTTCACAGGCACTGGAATATATTGCTCATTGGTTAGGTAAGAGGAAGACCTCTGTGGATATTACCCCGTGTACACAAAGCCCAAGGTAGCTTCAGGTGATGTCATGACTGCTGACTTTTGTTTTCCTAAGATTTATATTTGGGTCATTTGGGAATTTAAATAGTTGCATTCCTCTGTGACTTTAATTACAGAAACAAATCAGTGCAGTATTGGAAGCTCAGTGATTCGCTGCTTGAATCCTTACTGGGAGCATATAGATAAAACTAAGCACCTTTGAGGCTAAGTGGGTTTTTGACCCTTCCAAGCTGAGAAAATTGCCATGGGGTTTTATGTTCTATGTATGTGTTAAATTCTGTGATTTGATTCCCTTAACTAAAATGTAAATCTTAAAAGTTGGTTTTGGTGGTTGGGCCGAGCAGAGGAACTCCCAGTTGCCCTGATGAGCTTGAAGCTGGGTGGCTAAATTCACCCTCCAGAGCTCCAGCCAAAGATATTCCACTATTTTTTCACCAGTAGCCAATGAACAAACTTTGCAGCTGCCAAAACCAGTAGTTTATTCAGCTGGTAAAGACTTTTTTGGCCTTTTTTTTTTTTTCTCTGTCTTATTTATCTTTTGGGTTAGTGTTCAAGAGTTAAATTCATGTGGACATTGAGCTGGGCCCAAAGCACAGATGGTGCTTCAGTTCCTTGCTTTGATATCTGATGTAAGACTGAGATATAAACTGGGGGGAGAGTGATTTGCTGGAAGGATAGGGGTGTACTTGACCTTTGTCATCCCAGGATACTCCAAAATTTCCACTTTTTTTCATTTATTTGGGTTTTCTGCTGCTTGAGTTAATTTCCATTGTACCAAAATAAGAAAGAATCATAAGTCTCTTGATAAGTTTCTTGATCTATTTTTTTTATTTGTACTTTCCTGAAAAGATAGTGAATTACTTATATGACAATCAGTAGCTAGCAGATGTAACATTACTTTCTAATGTCCTCTATGCAATATTTCTTAATGTAAAAAATAGCATAACAAAAGGAAAGAAAATCCTGGACTTTGGTTTGCCTTGTTTTCTTGTAAAAGAAAGTGAAAAATAATTTGTCACAGGTGAATTGAGATTGCATCCTGCAACTATAGAGAATGTAAAGAGAATTTAAAGAAACCTTTTAAAAAAAAAAGTTTTACATAGTGTTATCATTCCTATATAAAATAATTTACTATTTTAATACTGTTTAAATAATTTATCTGTATTTAAAACTAACCTTTTAAAATTTTACAATTAGAACTTTTGGCATTAACACTTAAATTTATTTTTAAATATTAAAAAGATTTTTTAATATTCAGTACAATTCAATATAAAAACAGAAAAAGTAATGTACACTGTTCACACAAAGTACTGTACATGATAGCTGAGCTCTAGAGTGAGCTTTTGAAGTTGTCAGAAAAGTCATAGCTTGGTTGTGGTGAACCACTTGGACATCCAGCTTTCTCAGCTCCTCAGATCGTAACAGATCCTTCCCATCAATATATATCCTATTGTATTACATACACATACTGTATACAGTATTTAAATCCCATCTCTATACCTGGGTTTTTACATATTATTTTCCCCAGCATTTAGAGCAGAATACTTTTAGTACATACACTAATATATTTGACATACACAACTTGACAATTATCTTACCAATTTTCTCATCTCAGTGATATGAAAATTCAACTCCTAAATGCCAAATAATGTAATTGAGAAGTCACTCATATTTACAATTTGTAACCATATTGTGTTTGTGTTAGCAATAAGACAGCTAGGTTTCACTTGTCCCCTTAGTGCTCTTTCGTTAGTCCTGGCAAGGCTAAAGGCAGCGTAATGGGCGTGATGCTGACGTCTTAACCACTAATTCATCTGTCGCTTGGTCTGTGACCAAGTAATCCCAGGTTCACTGTGTGTGGTGGGGCTTCATTTGAAGGCCAGTTACCAGTCTCTGGTTTTTAAGAGTAGGTACAGCCTGCCATTGGTAATAGTTTGTTATCAAAGTGTAAATTGCTTTCCCCATCCTTCTGTATATAACTGTATCTTAGCAAGGTGGTTTCTACTGATAGTCTAAATGGTTTGTGATGGAGAAAGGGTATTCTCATGCTTCCTTTACATAACTTTAATTGCCATGTCCCATGGAAAAGCATACTATTTCTTTTTTTTAAAAAAAAATCTTACTCTGAAGGACCCCAAGACTTTGCAAAGAGCAATGGAATGTTTTACCCTGAATGGCTGTTCAGGGTTAACTGAAGGAAAAATATTAATTCAAATCAGCATTTGCATCAGGAAGCCTTTTTTGGAAATGCTCAGGAGAGCAGCCTGTGTCCCTTGTTATCTGCAGCCATTCACAAATGAACAAGGCTCAGGCAGTGGATCCTCACAGTTTTTTATTCACATGCAACCTACAAACCAGAAATTAACTGCAGGAATTGCCATGTTGCTGCTTCTTAGTCTTGCCTGAAAAATACCTTCCTCACAGATATCTGAGGCAGGAAGGTTTCACTAATGCAACAGGAGCACTCAAATGCTTTGCCCAGATCTTTGCAGCATGTGTTGAGGTTCTGAATGGTCCTTCAAGAGGACTGTGTTGTGTAAGAAAAATCCTGTCTTGTTCTCACTTGGGGGGAATGGGCTGAGCAGAAAGGATATAGTTTCCTTGTAATGACACGTTGTAGTCACTCAACAGAAAAATGCCTATGCATGCAACAGGTCACATGTTTATTTTTGAAGTCCTGAACTTGATCTCACAACTTAATGACTTGTTTTGCTTTAGATTTGTCATTTATACTTGAGTCTGTAGGGAAGAAACACTAATATACTTTTCCATATGGGGATACACTTAACAATAGAGAGAAAAGTGTATTTTTAATAAATATAAGGCAGTTGAAATCCTTCTTTTTTATGATTGCGTAAAAAAAGCTCAGTAAAGACCAACAAAAGTCATTAGTTGAAAGACTGTCTTTCTGGGGAGAAAGAAGAAGAAAACAGCTCATCAGTTACTGTGAAAACTGTTTTAGGAATTCAGGCCAGATTTGTGGGTTGAATCCAGAAAAATACAGACAATATGTGCTGTATCAGCTTAACTTTAAGGCTTCTCGCCTCTCAGAGGAATTCCGCATCCTGTATTAGCACGTATGTTGCCTACACAATGCGTGGAAGGAGTTACAGAGCTGAGGCATGTAGCTCTACTTCAGCTCACTCTAGCAGTCAGAAAGGAGCAGTAACTGAAAGACGTGTGATTTTTACCCTTCTTCCGCTGCCGGTTGTGATTTTATCTATTTGGTTTTAATCTTTTCCTAAAAATAAGCACTTATAATCTCTTCTTCAAATTAAGACGGGCTACCTTCATTCTTTTAAAACAAAGTTAGGAAGAAATTACCTTTCTGACATTGCCTACCTATTACTTTTTAAAGCAGCCATTTGGTTAAATTTGGGTGCAATGCAACGTCATTCTGGGGGGCTGCCCTGCATGCCCCTCCTCAGCAGGGTGGGCCAAAGAGCTCTCCCAGGCAGCATGTTTGTTGAAACACTGCTCTGTTTGCAGGGAGCTGCGGGCCAGGGGTAGGTGCAAGAGGGGACAAAGGAATGAGGACAGTAGGAAGCAGAATATTATTGAAAAAATCAATTAAGTAAAGAAAAACCAATCTGATTTGCTACATATCATACCTCAGAGAATCATGTTTTAGCTAGGAGTTAGGCAAAATCTTTAGAGACGGCCTCTACAAAGTTTGGTGCTGACATTAAAATACCAATTGTACAAATGATAGTAAAGACTGAAAAAGCCATCAAGCAGAGTCGATCCACTACAGAGGCTGCGAACTTCCATTCATTGCAAACGGCTTCCTCTTCATCCTGGTCTCTGAATCGGTTTGCGATGTAGCGGACCTCTTCCAAGATCTTAGCCAAATCCGGGTCACCTTCAGAAGGGTGGCCGCTGTGCAGCAGGTTTTCTTCTTCTGTTGGTGAGCAGGTCATCCTCCCACAGATCACCCCTGAATCAGTGGTGGGGGTGCAGTGAACCCCTTCCAGCCCCCTAAACCCGATGTAGAGCATGTTCCCATTGCTGCATTGCTGCCCGCTCACGGTGTTCATCTCCACGCTCGACAGGCTGCACCGCCGCTGTTTGTGTTGACAGGCAGGACGCACTTTGTCTTCCCCTGGTCTCTTCATCCTCAGGAACCAAGCGCACCAGTTCAGAAGAATGATCCTGGTCTGGAAGAAGATGAGTAAGAATAAGCATTGCTGTACACACCTACTGTCCTCAGTAGCTATTTGCATTTTTACAGTTTGAGTGACTGTCTGATCCCCTGCACAGCAGTTTTAGAAGGTGGGACCAAAATTTTCTAATGGAATCATTTGCCAACCACTGAGGCTGCTTTCCTACCCAGCAGGGCTGTTGATGGCCTCAGGCTGCTGTTGAACTATCTCTGAGAGTCATGTCCCAGTCATCCCCCCTTCCTCGATGGCAGTCTTTGTAGTGCTGATATTTGTTAGGCGTGAACAGCAATATTACAGCCCTTTCAGCTTTTACTAGAAACCGTTAATAAAACAATATCATTTATCAAAGAACAATTATTTTTGAACAGTCTAAGTAGCTCTGCTTTGGACTTGGTGAATCCTTTCACTCATGTCTGCTTTAATACTAATTTTGCTTGGCATTTCTGTACAGAGGTACAAACCTGCAAACAGGTGCTATAATGATTAGACTGGACTGCTAAATTTTACTGGGTTTTGGCTGTGTTGGCCCTTGACTCTCACAACAGTTGATGGCAGATTTTAGAATAGAGATCTGAATATAACACAGGAAAGATGAAAAAAAAATCTTTTTAAAAAATATTGCTAAAAATTTAAATCACTGCATTTCATTTTATTGTTTTCCGTATTGTATTAAAGCAGCCTTACAGAAAGTGTGGGCAAGCCAGAGACTGCCTCAGCTCAGATTCAAGGTTCTATAATTTATTTCAGTCAGCTTTCGAGGGCTCATTTCAGTGTTTCTTTTTCAGAGTACCAATGAAATATTATTGTCTCATATAACATATAACTCTTGCACTGTAATTAATATTAGATCTGGTTGATTTATTCTGACTGCATATTGCTATTTAGAGTAGATGTTATATCCAGGCAAACCTCCAAATCAAAGGCAGATCTTTCCTTGTTATTTTATTTCTGTTATTTTGTTTCACCTAGAAGGATAATGTTTTCTTAACTGAGGGCCTGACCTAAAACCCATCAACATCAAAATAAAGTCCAATGGACTTCAGCTTCTCATTATCAAAGCTCACTCCTCAATATCAAATACTCTGTCCTCTGAGGATGTTTGACCCAATACTAAGTATTTGCCCTTTGTAGGTCACCAAACATCAGTCTAAAGACTTTATTCTCTTCATACAACTCCTTTTTTAGCTTGCTCTCCTAGGACGGGCTGGAGAACTTCCCATTCTCCTGTCGATAGGGTATGTTCTTTTTGACTAGTGAGGATAACAATAACACATTTTTTTCAGAGAGCAAAAAGAGAGAAAGATCTTTCTGTCTTCACCAGTGCTTGGTGTTGCCTCATGCTAGGTGAAGTCAGGAAGGCTGGACAACTCATGTTCATCGATATTTGGTATTTAATTTTGTTCTCAACAAAGAAAACTCCAGTAGCAGACCGATGCTTTTTTGAGGAGGAGAAAACAAAAACACTCATAGAAGTGTATTAGGAAGAAAGCCTTATGCACTTGAAAAAATAACTTTCATTTGTACTCAGCAGAAGTTCTTGACCAGAGCTGCTAAATCAGCAGTGTAAGAGCAGGTTACACTTGAACAACTGTGGCCCTTTTGGCTATTGATGTTTCCTTATTCACATCACAAAAACACAGAGCAGCTGCGCAGTCGCACCTCGAGGCTGGCATGTTTCATTTATAATCCCCAGCAGTAGCTGACTCCTTGAAAATCACCTTCATCTGTTTAGTTACGTTTTATCAAAATCTTGAAGTGCCCCTAGCTGTTGTGAAGGACATTCTTAATTTAGAAGCAAGATGAATAGTCCCTCTGTCTGTGATACTAGCTTTCAAAGCAAGATGCTGGGGGAAGGATTTATTTTAATAGCAGGAAGTAAATACAGGTTACCAGATACTGTGTCGCATCTCTTGTCTGGACATTATAAAATGGATAATGCATTAAAATCAAAGCTTACCCATTTAGGCATTTTCCCCCCATCTGGATCGTGGTGGTGATATTGCAGCACGATGACAGTGACAACAACAGAAAGACCCACAATAATCATAGTGCTGGCAAAATACTGGGCTGCAAAGCAAGGGGATAATGACAGCAGTGTACTCTGAGTGATCCTGCGTTGTGTCTGTGTGCATGTCTACGTACATACACGCTCGCTTACAGTAGGTCTTGATCTACGTGTGCCCATGTTTCTGTTAAGCCCTTTGTTCAGCTTTGCACTAGAGCTACACATGCAAGGCAGGTACTTGGAAAGGTAACGAGCTGTGTTAATTTTCTGAGGGAGGCTGAGGAGGCGCCCAGGAATAACCTTCCGCCATGTTTCATTGAGCGGGGCTCTGGAGCTGGGCTCGCCTTCCCTCTGGGAAGTCTCTCCTGCAGTTGTGCAGGGGCAGCGTGCGGGGGCTGGCTGCATCCCCCTGCGCTCTCCGCAGCTGCGAGAGACGTAGTGGCTTCGCCGAGGGGCCGTGCCTCCCTCTGGCCTCCCTCCCACTCCCCCTGGTGCTCTGCAGGGCGCTCTATTTTGCCCCAGACCTTTCTCCAGGGCAGATGCAGAGGAAGTCACTATCCCTACGGGGGACTCCTGTTAGGGCAGCATTAGGCAGCCTGGGGGTACTTCTTGCGTCTTCCCCAGCCAGCCGCCCTGGACCCTGGGCTGTCAGCGCTGCAGCCGCGTCACTGGGGGACAGGCACCTCCAGGCACCTGGGGCGCTCGCCAGGGGCCCTGCTGGAGGCTCGCGCGGGGCTGAGCCCAAGCGCCGCTGCGTCAGCTGAGCGCCGCGAGCTACTGCGTGTGGTGTCCTTGCCTTCCTGCTGGCCTTGGTGCAAAGTCACTGCAGCTCCTCTGACACAAAATAAAAGTGCTTAAAAGCAATATTTAGCTTACCAATTAATGGCACAGAATCAGATGTTGCTGGCATAATTTCAGCCACAAGTAACATGAAGACAGTGAGAGACAATAAAACTGTTATACCTGGAAAATAAACATGAAGTTTGGATTTAGATCAGTGGCTTGCAGTTATAAGGCAGTGATAAGAAGAAAATGAATTTGAAGGGGGGCTGTCAGCAAGATGCATCCTTGCACCTACGCTCATACTCCTATCTCAGACTGGTTCAGCTCCAGGATAGTCATGATGCTCCATGATACGCATGTGAATGCAAGAATTCTTACAGTGCTTCAATAAGTTTGAGTCATAGCAATGTTTGCAAAACAGTTTAATTATCATTATTTGCTAAAATAACTTAAGATAAAGTACTTCTTGCTGTCTGTCTGCTTCAGGAAGGTGGTGTAATTTTGAGTGTACGAGCGTGAGCCACCTTAGTTCACTGGTGTGGAAGCCACAGTTGTGATAGGATTCTAATACAGTAAATTTATTTTTCAGGACAGACTTTAATTAATATGTGTGAGTGCGGGTGGGTATTTGTTTGTTTGTTTTTTAAGCAATTGAAACCCTGCTGCTTAAATAAGTTAGAAGTTGTCCTGCCTTTTGTTCGATTGCCTGAAATTTTTCCCTCCCACAACTTCAGCCTCCTGTAAGCTCCCAGCAGGGGCTAACCAGGGCCACCATGCTTCAGCATCACACATTGAAATAGTTTATGAACTAGAAAAGGACCTACAAACTATTCCTGCTTCCCTGCTAAACTCTCTACGTATACTAAAATATAACTAGTTTTTTGGTTCAATAATATTTACAATACCATATTAAGGAATTACCTAGTGAGATCTTTTCTCCTGAGTCCGCTGGAAGCAGAAAAACTAGTAAGGCAAGTGATGATATCAGGACACAGGGAATGAGAAGATTGAGTCCGTAATAGAGAGTCCTGCGTCTCATAGTGACTGTGAACGTTACGTCTGGGTAAGGTTCTTTACAGCATTCATAAAAACTCTCAGTTCTCTTCCCAGGAACTCCTAATTAGGAGGGAAAAGAAATAAGCTGCTTTCAATGAACTCTATATTAGTGTAGCAGTTACTTTAGATAGAAAAGGATAAATATATCTTTCTAAATTTTACTTAGGTAAAACTACTTCCTTATTAGTTTCCAGTTAAGTGTTTCTTGTCAGACAATAACAGAAGATGAGGTGAAAGATACTCACTGAATTCAGGAAGCAATTTTGTCATTGACTGTTTTATGTTGATTTTCATCCTATGTCTGTTCTCAGACATTTAAATGCCACTAGCTAGATGTTCCAAGTTAAAGGTGCCATGTTTTTTACAAATTCTCTACTCAGTGTCTTGGTTTATATGTCGACAAAACCTGTGAGTTTGTATATCTCTCTAGACAATAACTGGTTAATTATATTACTGAAGCAATATAAAGCTGTATTGATAAAATTGATTTAAGTAATAGAGTAGTTCAGTAGCTATATGACTCCATAATGCTTGATCTTTATTTACACAAAGGCCCTTTATTAATTTCATTTCTGTCTTTATTTACCAATAATTACCTCTCTCCATTTTGGCAATGGAGAGGAGGCTGCAAATTCACAGTACCTATAAGAAATAATGCACTTACCTACTAAATCCCACTCCCCATTTGAAATGTAGCCAGAAATGTCTGCTTCTTGCATTTGTAAGTCCAAGGACCAACCTCCATAGGTCCAGGATCCAAACTTCAGGTTACACTTCTGAACATCAAATGGAAACCAGCGCACATCTATGTAGCATGAGCTTTTAAATATGCCTAAATTGGATTGTAAGCAAGAACACTAAATTGAAATGCTTGTTCACATCATTCCACGCCTGTTTTGTAACCAGGCCTTGTTCTACCTGGCATCCTCTGGTATTTAGTTATAAAATATATTTAAATACGTCGCTAATGACTTAAGATATAGAAAGCAAAATTCAGTCACGCAAAGAGAAGGAATTACACCATTCATTTTTTGATAGACTATTTTTGAACTACACTTACATCTTGTCACATAGTAGGAAAAGATTTAGAGAGGAAAGAGTTCAGATTTTTAGTAACTGTTTGTCAGTTTGAAATGCAGCAGAAAATGCAATCTATTTTTCCTTTTGCTGTTACTGAATAAGAAGATAAGTCCTGAAAGCCCCCCGCCCCTCCTGCTATACATGGAGAGATTCAGTGATAGATTTCTAGTATCAAATGAAGATCAAGCCAGCCTGCTTTCAGACTAAGAACTGTTTTGGTGAAATATAGGGTAAATCATTTCAGATAGTAGATACATCCATGTCACTAAGCTTCTTTTTGTAAAGTGAAATTATTAGTGGAAGAGAGAACTAAACTAATGAAATACGTTTTTATTAAGAGATATTACCTTTGCTTTAGCAAACAATGTTTCTCTGTGTGAAGGGCTTTTTAAAAACTTATTTCATGCATCCACATTTCCAAAACCAATATATTATGACAGCAGAATTTACATAATTAGTATTGGAAATGTATCTTCTTTGATGGCTTTCATACAGAAATATTTTCAATGATACATCTAGGCTTAAATCTATCCAATGATTGCTGGTTAGATAAATGAAATATTGAAGTATTGATGCAAATTTAAAACTGCACCATACATGAGCTGAGTTACTAAGATTTATCATATCAAAGCAGCTGACTTCTTACCTGGTGGCAGATATTGGCAATGTCCTGAAGAATTGACTAAAACATTTGTATGAAATGTAGCATCAAATCTTTCGTCAGCACTAGAATAGAGAAGCCAAATGAGTTATGTACTCTGTGATTGGCTCAATAACACCCAAGAAGAGTCCGTTCCTTTTAAAAGGATTATTTCTGCCCAAAATAAAACTTGACAGCTTGTCTCTTGGTACCAGTTTTCTGTGGCCTCAGAGTGACTGGCCTGATAATATCGGATTTGTTCCTGATTAACAACCCGCCTTGTTCTGTCCCTGCTCTCCAGGCTGGCCAGGTTTTACTGCCCCTTGGCTCCCCTGGCTCCCATGTGCAAAGTAAGAACTTCATAAAAACTGCTCGAGCATCTGCCCAAGGAGATCTGGTCTCCTCTCGCTGTCCACGTTAGCAGCAGCTAGAGAGCATGGAGCAGAGCAACACTCCGGCCTCTCACCCCATCCTGCCCCTTGCACCGGTCAACATTATTGCTGCCTGTTATATGAAAGGCTGCATAATGCAACCCCAGCCTTCACTATCTACCTCAGAATCCGCAAGTGAAGTTCTGGAGAAAAAAAAAGAAAAAGCCCAATAGATGCCTTTCTTTTGGCAAAGAGAAAGACATGTGAGAAATTACTGCAAATCAAAGAGATACAAACAGATATTTACTGAAGTGTGCTAAAATGCCAAATCTGTACGTATCAGGTCAAATCCTACTGAGATTCATCTGAAATTATATCAGAATTATAAAAAAAAGAAAAGAAAAGAAAATGTTAAGATGTAACTAACAGAAATTTTATCATTCCATGAAGCAGTGAACACTTTGTGGCTATCTCGAAAATCATATAACCAAAAAGAAGCACTTTTAATGAATCTAGTATAATTAAGGTAGAAGAGGGCCACACATGCCACCAGCACAGTCAGTCCTGGAATTTGTACACAGCCCAAGGTCTAGGTTCCCTGACTAAAAAATATTGATAAATTGGCCCTGTTCACTTCCCCTGCTCATAATCTAAGGAATATAGCATTAAATAGAACCAAAAAGCCTTAGCTGATGTAGGGGAATAGATTAATATATTTAGGTTGTTATGTTGATGATTCAAATGCAAGCAGAGATTTTCTTCAACTATTTAAAAATAAATGCAATAGCACAATAGACTAGTAGTAAAATTTAGGATAGCTCCTGCAAGTTTCTTTCTACTAGGTTGCAGCAAGATGTGTAAGGATTCATTACATATTAAAACATTTATTCATTAAATTGAAAAATTAATTTATTGTTCATTAATTTCTTTCAGCTTGTAATTGCAGATGCACATCCCTAGGGAAGTGTATAGAAATTGCAAGCATCTATCTCAAAATGCCATGTCTCTATAAGAGAACATATTCACATTCCCAATGCAATTTCTCACAGGAATGAGAAGTCATTTTAAAAAGCTTTGTCTTCTGACTATCCCTGAATAAGATTTTGGAATAAATGTGTTCCAGATAGTAACACTGTAGAATAATTATTGTATGACTGTGTCATAGTTAATACGATATAATTATAAAACCCTGTATTAATACAAAAACATAATGTTCAAGTATTAAGTTATAATTATGATTTTATATTGTGAATGAGCTGCAGTTAGCATATATTTAGCAGTATTACAAAGAAAAGTAGAAAATTTCTACAAGGGCCTTATAATTTCGTATACACATAGACCTACTGAGGCATAAATCCTCAGACACATAAATTCAATTACAAATTCTCTCTCAGGTCTGTGGTATATGTGAGGGAGGGATTTACGTGTCATAACTCATTTTGTAAAGGTCTAACCTGCGCTTGCAGAGTATCCATTTTATTGCATACACACTGTTGTTCATTTTTTTACTGATTTAGTCGATTCTCCTAAGAATGCTCTCATTTGTGACAGTGTAGCCAGGAAAAAAATGCTTAAGAGCAAAGAAAATTACAGCGAAATATACATTAATGGGAATTAATGATGCAGGAAGCTGCTCGGGTTGCCTGCTGCCCCACCTCAGCTGCAGGACCCCTGAGCAGTGTGTGTAGGCTGGCACGGACAGCAGAAGCACTAATTGCAGTGC